TTAATAAGCTATTCTTATTAAAGAAAACCTGGCAGATAATTGCTTTACATTAGAATAGATTATTTTCCAAGGGAAAAATCAAATTTAATATAATAACATGATAATGTAAATATTTTTGATACCTTATTTCAGAATTTTGATTTTAATTCATTAGTTTTATGTAATAGTGTATATTTAATTCTTAAGTTACCCTATTAAAACTTCAAGTAGTTAAATAAATTAGAATGAAGGGAGGATGAAGGGTGCTCTGATTGCATAGGGCAGCGGTCCCCAACCCTTTTGGCACCAGGGACCGGTTTTGTGGAAGACAATTTTTCCACGGACAGGGGTGGGGCGGGGGGCGGGTGGGGATATGGTTCAGGTAGTAATGTGAGCGATGGCGAGTGATGGGAAGCGGCAGATGAAGCTTTGCTCACTCGCCGGCCTCTCACCTCGTCCTGTGCGCCCGGTTCCTAACAGGCCAAGGACCAGTACCGGTTCACGGCCTGGGGGCTGGGGACTCCTAGCATTGAGTTTCAAAGATTTTGAGTGAGTTAGAGGATTAAGTCTCTTAGGGAAAGAAATTGCATACATAAGGCACAGAAATATTCATTAAACCCCCAATGATATTACTCATGAGATTATAAAATATAAATTTGTTATATTTACGTGTTGGAGACCTTAAGAATATTCCCTTTAAATTATAAACTTCTTAACCAAGAGGAAAAACAAAGAGTTACTCATGAAAAGTTAGAAATTAAAATAAACAGAAGATCTGAAAAGAAAAAAATGTTTTGTGGGGATTTGCTAAACAAGATTAAGAAATAATTATTCTTCCTTTTAAAAGTTTCCTCTCTAGTGCCTTAAATCTGGGAGCTTTTCAGAGTTCCTTATCATTCATTTGACACCTGGGTTCCTTTGCAACACTGGAATCTGGGTTTTCTCATAGCTGCAATGTCAAAAAATGTCAAAAAATGTCAAAAATCTCACTAATTATCCAGGTCAAAAGACTGGTCATAAATAAATAGCCAAGAGAATATCTTGATGTAAATACACTTACTCTTAAGTAATTTTCTTGAGGTCATACTTTGTCAATCTTATTACTGCATTATTAATGGAATTGGAAAACTAGGGTACCAGTGGAGGAGCTGTTGAAAAAAAATGCTTAACAGACCTTGGAATGCAGAACGTTTTGTGGGCTTTAAAACAAACCTCAACAATGCTAAAATAATCAAAAACACGGAATGTGTTCTCCAACTACAATGGATGCAAACTAGAAATTAATAGCAAAAGGCAACAGGAAAATCTGTAGATACATGGAAACTAAACAATATATTTCTAAATAATCCATCAAAGAGGAAACCTCAAAGGGAGATCAAAATATACATTAACCTGAGAGAGAGAAAAAAGACAGTGGAGCTCATTTCTTCCTCCACAGGCAGGGAGTACTGGCTTTAACTGGAGTGTTTGAGCCGCTCTCACAGACACTGTCATTCCTCCTGGTTGGTGGAATCTAGGCCCCTCACCTTTAAAACATGAAAATCCCAGCTTTCCTTCAAGTCCACCTCACCCTCTTCTCTGCTGCCCTGACAACTGTGCTTTGTATTTGAAGAATTCAAATCCACAGTCCAAATTGCTAAAGGTTCATAGTTTAACATTTTAACCTACATTTTTATTATTTCAGAAGATAAAATATTATGTTTTCTGTAGCATTTCTGTGGCAGAAGACAAGAGAGCACTGTTTAGAGCTTTAGGTCAGAAGGAAGAGAAGAGAAGCGGGTGGAGGAAGGAGACAGGGCTGCCTGCGGGGTTGCCTGAGTTCTTCTCCTCACCCCGGGCCTTGAGTCTTGTCCAGCTCAGAATTACCAGGGAAGTCGGGGAGAGAGGGAAAGAACTGGAAAAAACAGCTCATTCAGCATCTTGGCCTGGCCAGGCCTCTTTCCTAGACACTCGACTGTAATTGCCCGATGGACCAGAGGGGACTCCTCCGGATGCCATCCCCCTTCTTCCTGCCCTTTTCGAGCAGCATTCCCTTCCCACGCTACAGGGCAGCAGCGGAGGGGCATTGTCACTGCTCTGAGAAAGGTCACTAACAAGATCTGCACCAATTAAGCTTTTGTTTTATAGGGGCTTGGATTCCTGTCGAGCATGAAGTGACCTCTCTGGGGGTCATCTCTGTCCTAAAAGCTGGTGGCCCTCACAATCATACTGGCTGGTGTGTGTGGCCCCGGATCCGACAGAGTAACAGCTAACACTGATGTGGAGCTTGCTGTGTGCCAGGCACTGGTTTTATTTTATTTTGTTTTTAAAAATTGAAGTATAGTTGATTTACAATGTAGTGTCTGGTATGCAGCAAAGTGATTCATATATATATATTCTTTTTCATATTCTTTTCCATTATGGTTTATTATAGGATATTGAATACAGTTCCCTATGCCAAACACTGTTTTTTTAAAAAATATTTATTTATTTAATTTATATTTTTGGCTGCGTCGGGTCTTAGTTGTGGCACGCGGGATCTTCGTTGAGGCACGTGAGATCTTTCGTTGCAGCGCGCGGGCTTCTCTCTAGTTGTAGCATGTGGGTTTTCTCTCTCTAGTTGCGGCACGCAGGCTCCAGGTTATGTGGGCTCTGTACTGCGGCACACGGGCTCTCTCACGGAGGCGCATCGTAGTTCCCCGACCAGGGATCTAACCCGCGTACCCTGCATTGGAAGACGGATCCTTTACCACTGGGCCACCAGGGAAGTCCCTGTTTCTGTTTTTGTTTTCTTTTCCACTATAGTTTATTACAAGATATTGAATATAGTCCCCTGTGATATACAGTAGGAGCTTGCTGTTTATTATATATATGGTAGTTTATATCTGCTAATCCCAAACTCCTAGTTTAGCCACCAACGCCCCCCTTGGTAACCATAAGTTTGTTTTCTATGTCTGTAAGTCTATTTCTGTTTTGTAAATAAGTTCATTTGTATCTTTTTTTTTTTTTTAGATTCCATGTATAGGTGATATCATATGGTATTTGCCTTTCTCTGACTTTCTTCACTTAGTATGATAATCTCTAGGTCCATCCTTGTTGCTGCAAATGACATTATTTCATTCTTTTTTATGGCTGAGTAATATTCCATTGTATAGATATACTACATCTCCTTCATCCATTCATCTGTCGATGGACACTTAGGTTGCTTCCATGTCTTGGCTGTTGTGAATAGCAGGCACTGTTTTGAATGCTCTGTGTGTGCTAACTCGTTCAGTCTTTCTTCACAGCATCCCTGCCAGGCAGGTGGTCCTGTGACCTCCATCTCACAGAGCAGGAAGTGGAGCCCTGAGAGGGAAGGAACTATTGTAAAGCCCTCACCGAGGGCCTTCACAGGCTGTGCTCTTACCAGGGGCTGGTAAGCTCTCTGTGAAGGGCCAGATAGGAAATATTTTAGGCTTTGTGGACCATACAGTCTCCGCTGTGACTACTGGACGCTGCCATGGTGTGTAAATGTATCCACAGACAACACTTGAACGAACACGGCTGGGTTCCAATAAAACTTGATTTATGAAAACAGGCATCGGGCTGAATTAGGCCCATGGCCCTAGTTTTCAGACCACAACTCTTCGCTATCAACTAGTACTAACTCTCATGTACATAAGACCTCTCATTTCTATTTCCTCAGACCCACCTCAGTTCCCATGAAGTTCCGTAAAATGACAACTATCATTAATTATATAAAATTTACAGTTCACAGCACATCTGCTCTCCACAGTACTTTTGTGAAGCATGTTTTATCAATGTCCCCATTTTAGAGAATAGCAAAATTCGGCTTCAGAGACAGTCACCGGCCCCGAGTCTCACATTACAAAGTTCTTTGGCATGTTCTAAACTTGAAATCTAACTGAAGAGACACCGACTTCCCTGAGTAGCTTTTCCATCCTAATGATGTTTGCTTTTTTTCCTTCTCAAACGTCTTGTCTTTCCTTTCTCATATTCTATGCTGTGTCTTCTTGTTGGGGAAGCAAAGCAGAGGCACCCTGATCTCTCTTCCTGGAGCTTCTAGAATCTTCTACCATAATCTTCTTGCTGAAAATGTTCTTATACCAAGGCTCTGGAAGCCACGGGGGTGGGCACAGCCTACGTTTGACGACTGAGACCCTTAATGATTCTCACCCTAAGAATCTGTCAAACGCCACATCCTTTTGAGCCACAACTTCAGTGACTAACATTTATTCTGAGCTCCCTCCAGGCTAGGTGCTGTGCTAAGTGATTTTTATATATTATCCTATTTAATTCTCAGACCCACTTGAGGTAGGCAGGTCTAGTTATTTATCTCTATTATGCAGATAAAGAAACCGAGACACAGAAAGCTAAATAACTTATGCTATAAGGATCGAGTATCCTGTGTCTCTGCCCACTCAAAGGAGAGTTTAGTTAGCTATTCATGGGCAGGGAATTGTGCCCGTCCTGGGCAAGAACACAGACGTTTCCAGTCAAAGTAAACTCTTCCTCACTCCTCTGCCCTGTTTGAGGCGCATGAACATGAGTGTAGAGCAAAGGGGAGAAAATCTCCACGGGGGAGAAAGCGGCACTCCAGCCTTCCACCGCGTACCTCAGGTGGCTTCGTATAAACCCTCCGCTTTCCCAACAAGGTAACCACCGCCCGGCGAGAGACATTATCTCACTGCCCTGCCCCAGTGCTGTCCTCTTCATTGTGCAAGAGCACAATCATGTTACTTCACCCTCCAACATTCTCAGTGAAACGGTCCTCACTCTTATCACCAAAGGCTAGAGAAACAGCGATCGGGGGAGAGGGGCGGCATCACAACTCACTCTGGTCCAGGGAGCAGATGTTGGGTGGACCGAGGAATCACGTGCTCGCGGCTGCGCTGCGTGTGCTCAGACCCTCACGGCGGAGTGAAATCCAGTTTGGTCTTTGCTAAAGCTCTCGTGCCCAGCTCTCAAGCGCCAAAAGCAGCTTTAAGCACAGTGCTGTTTTCCAGCTGAAACTATAATCATATCCTTTGTGTTTTCATCAGAATGTGAAAAAGACGGACTGGTTCCAGGAATGGCCAGATGCCTACGAGAAGCACATCTACAGCTCGGAGGACAGGAATGCGCAGCGGCACATGAGCAGCTGGGCCATGCGCAACACCAACAATCACAACTCCCGCATCCTCAAGAAGTCCTGCCTGGGCGTGGTGGTCTGCAGCCGCGACTGCCTCGTCGCTGAGGGCCGCAAGGTCTACCTGAGGCCTGCCATCTGCGACAAGGCCCGGCAGAAGCAGCAGAGTGAGTGGGGCTCCTGCCCCGAGGGGCCACGACGTCCGTCCTCGCACCTCCCAAGGGCCCATCCTTCGCACTGGAGGGTGGTGGAGACCAAGGCCGGTCCTTTAGGTTATCTTAAGGAAAGCCAGCCAGCTCCCTGGGCTCCGGTATCCGTGCCAAAGATCTGCCACGCACAGGGCACCCACCATGAACCTCCCTCGGGTTAAGACGCCTGACTCGGGGCCTCTGTTAAAAGGAAGACACATCACTTAGGGAACTAACGTTAATTCACCAGCACACCCACCTAAAGTTTAAGAGAAAGTTGTGTATCACGCTTGCCACCTCACATCTTGGGGAATGGGGTCCCCAAACTGATCTCAATGAGTGCTTTGATCTAGAGTGGGAGCCGGGACTGACTCTGAGGTTAGACTCAATTCCATGCCATGTAGGTTCATCCATAATCACATGCTGAGATAATTCTTCATTTTGTTTTTTATCATATTCATCAGATTGTGAAATAGACGCACTTGGCATTCCCTGTGCCTTGCCCACTTCAGACCTCAAGTTACTTCATGTTCTTTCCTTGTAATTTGTTTTCAGAACTTGCTCTCAGGGCAGGATCTGGTATCAGTCATTTACACTTTAGTGAAAATTTAGTAGCTGCATTCTCTCCGTCATGTGGTTTTGCTCCTTGACCCTTAGTTCTAATTGTGAAGTGAAAGAATTTTTTTCTGCTTCTCTACAAAGAATTTCAAGTATCAGTAAATAAGGAGGGAGGGATTTTTTTTTTTTTTTTTTTTTTTTTTGCTCAAAGGAGCTCTCCCCTGTCCTGTAAGATATCCCGCTCTGTAGGCAACTGCTTCCTCTACCACGTGTGAAAGTGACCTGCGCTGCTTTGGTGGTCTGGCCTCCTAGGCTTAGGGGTCATGCCCAGTGTACGAAAGCCTATAAAACTGTACCCAGGTGGATTCTCTGCCATCCAGGAATCTGAAATCGGCAGGGCCGCACAGACTTAGGTCACCTTCCTAAGTCGCCTTCCTCTGCTCCTTTGTAGGGAAACACTGTCCCAACTGCGATGGGCCCCTGAAGCTCGTTCCCTGCCGAGGCCACGGGGGCTTTCCTGTCACTAACTTCTGGAGGCACGACGGACGCTTCATATTTTTCCAGGTTGGATTTGAGTTAGAGATTCCATTTCTCTTTAATTCACGAACTCTTCACAGAGCACCAGCAGGAGTTTCCTCCAGGAAATGCACAGGTGGAGGGGAGCCTGCACCCTTCCTGGGGGACCCTCTGGGCGAGCAAACGCCTGTACCCCAAACCTTGAGACAAGAGTCAGGGGCTGAGAGGCCAGGACAGGGGTGGCTGCCCCTGCCTCAGGCTCCGAAGGGGATGCTGCGGTCAGTCATTTGTTTAGGCAAGCACTGGCCTTCCACAGACCCAGCTCTGTAAGCATGGACACATTGCTTTACGCCCCTAAGCCCCAGTTTTCTGGAAAATGTGTTAAGAAGTCCTCATGGGGGAGGTGGTAGAAACAGTGGCCTCTGACAGTTGGACTGCCTGGGTTTGAGTCCGTGCTAAACCTGTCTCTGAAAAGAAAATGTTCTGATGTGTAGGGTTTGCCAGTTTCTGGGATATAACAATTCCCATCATGGCTGATATCAAGCCGGGTTTTTTTGTTTGTTTGTTTGAAAAAGCTAATTATTTTACTATATATTCTTTCATACTACTTATACGATCATAAGATTGAACATGGAGTTTCATGGCAAAGCACATTAAAAATTAATATTGAAGGTAAAAGAGAATAGAAGATATTAAGCTTGACAGAGGTTCTCTGGAAAGATTTCTTTGGTAGAAGTGTGCAAGATGAGCTGAAATTTTCTTTCCCTCCTTTCCTCTTTGTTAATTCGGTTTCTTCATCAAATATATATTTTTTAATTTTAATTTTATTGGAGTATAGTTGATTTACAATGTTGTGTTAGTTTCGGGTGTACAGCAAAGTGTCAAGCTGTTTTTACAACCAGCTCACAAATTCCTGAATGGCCAACAGTTGGCTTTCAGCCTGGCTGGCTCTGGCACACTTTGAATCCTAGCTCCCGCACGTACTAGGGGAGGTTTCCCAGGTGGTATAACCCCTCCATGCCTCCTGAGAAGGATGATAATGGTATAGCCCTCACAGCCTTGTGCCGAAGGTTCAGGGAGAATTATGTAATCAGCATTACTTGTCATCACTATGAATGTGACTTGGCCAGGCTGGGGAGAGACACCACGCAAGGAAGGAGCATCATCAGCAAAGGCAGGTGGGCAAGCAGGAGCGTGCATGGGGGGCTTGGGAGCATCTTAAAAGGATGCTCCACCGAGGGGGAAAGGGCGGGTGCTGGGATGAATTGGGAGATACATATATCTCCATATACATATCTCCCATATATATTGACATATATACACTATTTTTTATACTATTGATACTATGTATAAAGTAGATAACTAATTAGAACCGATTGTATAGCACAGGGAAATCTACTCAATGCCCTGTGGTGACCTAAATGGGAAGGAAATCCAGAAAAGTGGGGATATATACATATACATATAGCTGATACACTTTGCTGTACAGTAGAAACTAACACAACATTGTAAAGCCGCTATACTCCAATAAAAATTAATTAAAACAAAAAAAAGTTTGCTCCAATCTTGTCTTAGTAGTCAACTGCAGCAGTACCCAGTCCGATGGCAGGGCGCAGGATAAAGCTTTACGCACCGTGAAGCGCATCTAGTTATTTATGTCACTGCTTCGTCTCCTCTAAGTCCAAGGGAGAGCATGACCATCCAAAGCCAGAAACCAAACTGGAAGCCGAGGCCAGAAGAGCAATGAAGAAAGCGCACTCCACGTCGTCCTCTGTCTCCTCGAAGATGAAGCAGGGCCCGCAGATAAAGGTAACCTTGCCCCATGCAGCTTCAAAACGTGCGACGACTTGCCACCCCTGTGGTGGCGGCAGTAGATTTCCCTGTCCCTTACCTACGAATGAAGCCGAAAATCACATACCTTCAGGCTCACCTGTGAGTCAGCCTCTGCCAAAGAAACTGAATCTGCGGGTTTCCTCTTCATTTCTACCATCTTCGTAGCACGCCCTCAACTGTAAAGTCCATAGCATTTCAGAATCGTCTTCCCTACTACAATTAAAAAGAGACTCGAATTAGCACTTAACCTATGTTTGGCACTCTGTATTTCTGATAGAACCGAAATGAAATGATCTGCACAAAACATGAGCCTCGTGCTTTTTCATTCTTCCCTAAAGCAGATGATTTCCTCAGCGCACTCCACCAAGGTGAAATAACCAGGCAGCTTCTGAAAACAGTGCTCATCCAGGGATGTGGGGCTGGAGGCTTCTTCCCGCAGTCAAACTGTGATGTGACGCTCATGGCTTTATGGGTGTCATTCTGTAGGTTTGTGGGTTTGTCTGCTTAATAGTGTTACTAATTCCTATACTTTTTCTACTGTCCAATGTTCCACATTTCAGGAGTACAGAAATGAAGCCAGTCCATCCCTGGAGGCTCTAAAGTACCTTAAGAAAACAAATTGTAATTTGAGTCTTTTGTAGGGAAATAGGAGCCCCTGAATCCCAATGACTGGTCTTATCCCATCTCCCAGCCCTGGGAGAAGTTGAAGGGTATTTCCTCCCACTCACCCTACCTGGTCACAGTCTTTCCAACCCCATCGGTCGATAGCTTTACATAAATAAGAGGATAACTTAATTCTCAACCAGATTCTTTCCTTGCGATTAACTGGAGGACAATTTACTTTCTCCATTGGTAAAAATAAGTCGACCACCTCGTATTCCAGAGATCTACAATTTAACAAAATGAGTTCAAAGTCTCTTGAGAAAAGAAATAAGCCCTGGTCTCATGGAATCCACACAGCACTAAAAAATAGAAAAGTCAAGGAGGGAAATGTGGTTCCCCTGAGAGTTATACTGAGGATAAGGTAAAGCTTTGAAGATAAAGTTTGATTTTTCTTAAATAGCCCCTTACAAGTTTCTCACAGAGTCAGTTAGGATATCAGACTTGCGTTTGCGGGGAAACATTTTAAACACACTCCTGTCTGAGTAAAGGGCAATTCAGCCCTTCCTGGTTGGTCAGATTCCAAACAGAAATGGCAGCAGCCTTTAGTTCTTCCAGGCCTTGGGTGCTTGTGCAAAGCCCTGCGTGTGTTTGTGCTTCAAGTATGCAAGGAATGAAGAAAATTTGCAGAGCACTTATTTGTGCAGGGTCACCCGTGGGTGCCTGGGGTAGTTAGGTCAGTTTAACTTATTAACATGAGTTTTCTCTTTCCTTTCCAGCCTCTTCCAGGTGAAACACAAAGTTGGGAAAGTTTAACTTGGTCTTTCCAGGAAGGTGTCCAATTGCCTGGTAGTTACAGTGGACATTTAATAGGTAACGCTCCCCAGCCGAAGGCACTGAATGATGGCTCGTCCTTCTCTGAGAGTTATGGTCTGGGGAGAACCTCTGACCCCAGAGAGCCCACTCCCACCTTGGGCCCCACTCAGCTCTACGAGAAATGCAATTTGTCCAATAGTCGGGTCTCCAGCAGCCAGGACCTGCTTCAGCCTCCTGTCTCTGGAGTCTTCTCTGATTACAGTGATCTGCAAACATGGAATAAGAATGTTGCTTTGGGGAGAAATCCTTCCAATGACAACAGTTGTCCCAGTTACCCTTTTCCTCTGACCAGCTGGCCTTACGACTTCTCCCCTTCCCAGAGCTCTTCAGAACCCTTTCTCCAGCAGATTCCCACGGAACCACCAGCACCCAAAACTAGCTGTCACCCCTTCTGGCCAAATCAAGGGGGTGGACTTTACGAAGAGAAGGTGCATGTGGATTTTAACAGCTACCACCCTTCCACCACTTGCCATTCACCTCAGGAAGACCCCTTTCTCCTCACCTACACCTCTCAGCCCCATCATCAATATTCTCTGCCTGGCAAGAGCAGCAAATGGGATTTTGACGAAGAAATGAGGTACATGGGTTTGGATCACTGCAACAACGAAATGCTTCTAAACCTCTGTCCTTTAAGATGATCCAAATCGGGAGACTTGTGCACTGCTGGTGGAAATGTCATTTCGTGCAGCCTCTGCGGCAAACAGTATGGAGGTTCCTCAAAAAATTAAAAGTAGAACTACCATATGAGCCAGCAATCCCACTTCTAGATATATATCTGAAGGAAATGAAATCACTATCCCGAAGAGTTATCTGCGCCACCATGTTCATTGCAGCATTATTTACAACAGCCAAGACATGGAAACAACCTAAGACAGATGAATGGATAAAGACAATGTGGTGTGTATATATACACACAATGAAATACTATTGAGCCATAAAAAAACAGGAATCATGTCATTTACAACAACACGGATGGACCTTGAGGGCATTATGCTAAGTGAAATAAATCAGAGAAGGAAAGACAAATACCGTATGCACTCGCTTACACGTGGAAAATTTAAAAACCCGAATTCATAGAAATAGAGATCAGATTTGTGGTTGCCAGAGGTGGAGGGTGATGGGTGGGAGAACTGGGTGAAAGTGATCAAAAGGTAGAAACTTCCAGTTTTAGATAAATAAGTTCTGGAGATGTAATGTACAGCGTGGTGACCATGGTTAACAACACCGTGTTGTATATTTGAAAGTTAAGAAGAGAATGGATCTTAAAAGTTCTCATTACAAGGAAAAAAATATAACTGTGTGGCGATGGATATCAACCACTTACTGTGGTAAACATTTTGCACTATATACATATATCAGGCCATTATGTTGTACACCTTAAACTTATACAAGGTTATATGTCAGTGATATCTCAATAAAGTTATATCTCAGTAAAACCGGGGAGAAAAATGACCGAAATCTTTTCTAGCCACTTAAAAAGCTGTTTTGGGAAATGGCTGAAAGAATTTCTTTAGGAAATGGTTTTCAAAAGGTAACCACAGATAAATCAGAATCATGACAACGAGCAGAAGGCAAGACTTCTCTCTTCACACAAGTGATCTGTTGGCCTGTCCTCCTCCTTTCTAGTACTATAGGGGTACTAGAAGTACTAGAGTACTCCTCAGGAGTGCTAGAGTACTAGGACAGTTTTCAGGAGTGCTAGAGTACTCCTCAGGGAGAATTGAAAATTTGTCCCATCTGTGGCAGGAAATGTCCTCGGCTATTTTTTTTCTCCACAATATTTGGGGTTCTCAGCACCTCAACTGCATTCTCTGTTGCATTTTCAATGTCCTTGGAATCATCTCAAACAGAGCAGACGTGAAAGGCCCAGGATCTCATCTACGCCTTCTTGGAAACAGAATGAAGGAACGGAGAGAGTGAAAGAGTTTCAGAGGAACAGAAAGATGAAGATGCTACCATTGAAGTAATAGTACTTTGTCTAGTATGAAACTTGTGGGGTTGGTTTATGAAACATGTGTCCTCTAGTTGAGTTCTAAGACTCGTCAAGACACGGGCTATGACCCAACCGCATTTCCTGAACACAAAGAGCAGCAGAATTGAACAGCTGCACGAAGAGACTTTCCAGTGGCACCAAAGGGTCTCCTTTCCTTCTTCTTCCTCCTCACCGTCCTCCATGAGAGCTCCAGTTTTGTCCCATTTACCTTTATTTTTACGGTGCCTAACAGCACCAGGCCCAAAATATGTGCTTGAGAAATGTTTGATTGGAAGAGTCCTTGTGTGATGAACATGGCCATGGTCAGGCAGCTGTATGTGAATGCCAGTACCTCTTTTTTGCTGAAGTACTTTACAAAAAGGTGAGCCTAGACATAGAATCTGGAAAGAACCGTACAATCAGCAAACATTTTAAAATAAATGCTCTTTTCTATTTGAATGGTGACAAATGCACATGATACAAAATTGGTTCCTAGTCTCCGTCTTAAGGCATCATCGACTAGTTTCTTGTCTGTTTTCCAAAGATTAGAGAGATTTTCTGCATACAGTAGTCCCCCACTTATCCGTTGGGGGGGGTGCCTTCCAAGACCAGTGGATGCCTGAAACCATGGATAGTACTGAACCCTATATATGCTATGTTTTTTCCTATATATACATACATACTGATGGCAAAGTTTAATTTGTAAATTACGTTCAGTAAGAATATCTGAATTGCCAGCATCATTCCTCTTGCACTTTGGGACCATTATCAAGTAAAATAAGGGTTACTTGAACACAGGACTGTGATACTGCAACAGTTGATCTGATAACTGAGACGGCCATCAAGTGACTGTTGGGGAGCATATACAGTGTGGAGGCCTTGGACAGAGGGATGATTCTTGTACTGGGTGGGAAGGAGCCAGACAGAGCAAGAGTTCATCACGTGACTCAGTGCACAATTTAAAACTTATGAATTGCTTATTTCTGGAAGTTTCCATTTAATATTTCAGACTGCAATTGACCACAGGTAATTGAAAGCACAGAAAGCAAAACCATGGATAAGAGGGGGACTGCTATATATGTAAGTGGTATCATACTAGATTCATTTCTAACATGACTTTTGTCATTTTCGGACACAATTTGGACATCAGATCCTTATAAAGATAAAGGACCACAGCTACCTCATTTTTAATGGTTTGTAATACATTAAATGACTATATTATAATTAATTTGGTCCCCTACTGATAAAAATTTAGATTGATTTGAATCTAGTAAATTATTTTGTCTAAGTATATAAATTTATATATTCAGTTTAGCAGAGTTACAAAGTAAATGCTTGTATAAGCACCATCCAGGCCAAGATATAGAACTTGCATTTCAGAAGGTCCCCAGTATCACCTCACATGGGTCAGAATGTCCATCATGAAAAAGTCTACAAACAATAAATGCTGGAGAGGGTGTGGAGAAAAGGGAACCCTCCTACACTGTTGGTGGGAATGTAAACTGGTACAGTCACTGTGGAAAACGGTATGGAGGTTCCTCAGAAAACTAAAAATAGAATTACCATATGATCCAGCAATGCCACTCCTGAGAATATACCAGGACAAAACTGTAATTCAAAAAGGTACATTCACCCCTGTGTTCATTGCAGCACTGTTCACAGTAGCCGAAACATGGAAACAACCTGAATGTCCATCAACAGATGGATGGATACAGAAGATGTGGCAAAGAAGGTCCCCTAACTGCAGCCCTCAATCCCTCCCTCTCCTGATCACAAGCCCCTTCCTGCATCCCGAAGGTGATTGCTAAGGTGGCTCTTTATATTTTTACTACCTTTATATGTATTACTCAACAATAGTTTGATTTTGGCTTTTTGGGGAGAACCTAACAAATAGAGTCACATGGGTACTGTTAAAAACGTATTGAACTATAATGTACATACAAAAGAGTGCACCGTCATAGCCTAAGCTCAGTAAATTCTCACAAGAACACAGCAGTCTGGCCACCATCAAGTGCAAATTCACTCATATCTGCTTTTTCTGCTCAACATTGTGTCCAGAAGAATCATCATATTGTTGTGTATAGCTGTACTTTGTTATTTTCATTGATGTGTTAAATTTATTTATTTGCACCTGAAATGCCTTTCCTCCATGCTCTAAGACAGGTGTCTCTGCTTGCTAAACATTTGGGCTCAAAATTCTAGGAATTTTGTCTGATAAAAAGTGTCTGATGTAATTCACCTCCCCTCGGAGAGCCCCAGGAGTTTGCATCTCTCCACCCTGCATGGTCCTTGAGTATAAACAACCGATTAGGGACCTATAACCATTGGATCTGAGGGTTTGAACAAAGTTTAAAGGTCACTTGTGCAAATATCTGAACAGACATGAATCTCCTTTACAGCTTCCCAAACAAGAGCTTATCCAGCATGTGTTTGTATCTTTGCAGAGAAGAGAAATTCTTTCCTTCAGAACATAATCAGCATAGTAATTTCATCAAGTGCTTTGAATTCAGGTCATTTCAAGGATGTCTTACTGTTCCCTGAGGACAAGGAAAAAATATTAGGTCTTCAGTTGAAAAATATTAAAAGCCTTACATACAGCCAGGCATCCAAGTCTGTGTAAGTCAGAAAGCCAAGCGAAGGACCCTGAAAATGCTAGTCCTTATCCTTAAGATGCAGTTGTCAAAACAACCTAACATTTGCACTGACCACAATACGTGGGATTTCAAACTTTTGGACAGAATCCAAAGTACTTTTTAGATTAGGGACCGTCTGGCAGCCACAGCGATTACAAAGAAAGACCTTTAAATTAGGCTCTGTTGAATATTCAAAAGGCCAAAAAAGGAAAGGACAGGCTTAGGGTGGAGCAGGCTGTGGGATGAAGCCATGGGCGTGGAGGAGTCTCCTGGGTCTGGGAGGCTCCCGCTGCACCTCAAGAAAGTGTCAAGGAACAGCCACTGCGTGGGTGGGAACTTTAGTTTCTATTTGGTCCAAGGCTTTCTGGGTATTTCAAACATTTCACTCTACTAAGTTAGGCACTCTGCCCTCCCAAACCCTTTTCTCTAGAAAACGACAGTCTTGATATTTATCAAAGCAAGAACATGTACATAGCTTGAAACATCAGATAGCACCACCAGACTTTTGACGGATAACAGCAATCTCTACCCATCCCTCCCCACTCCCGAGCCCTTTCCCCACACTCCACTTTAATTCTTTTAGCTGACGGCATTTTGTTAGGTGTTGCCCGCCTCTAAGTGGCCTTGACTCCAGATGGTGCCTTAACAGCCATCGCTGCCTCTTGTCCACCAGCCCTACCAGTAGGGGTCAAAGTTAAACTGGGCCTGGACATTAGGACTTGGTTGGAAGCTGACTGTCTTGGTGGCCAGCTGGGTGCCCCCAAGCTCACAGCATGAGTGAGATGGGGAGACTTCAGGAGTGGGTGAGGGAGACGTAGAGATGAGACTTGTGCTTCTCAAGGGGGATGGGGGCAGGGAGAGGGTTGGACTAGGTGTTTGGGTGCGGTAGGTGCAAACTATTACATTTAGAATGGATAAACAACAAGGTCCTACTGTATAGCACAGGGAGCGACATCTAATCTCCTGGAATGAACCGTAATGGAAAAGAATGTTTAAAGAAGAATATATGTGTGTGTGTGGCTGTCACTTTGCTGTACAGCAGCAACTGACACAACACTGTAAGCCAACTGTACTTCAATAAAAAAAAAAGAGTGGGTGAGGGGAGGGTTGGGGGAGATGGAATGGAGGATAAATAATTGCACGTGGTGACTGAGGAAAAGAGGATGGAATGAATTTTAAAACCAGAACCAA